GGCACACAAGCCTGAGGCTATCACCAACAAATAAAAGATACAAGTCTGACAGAAGGCAAAGTGGGAAGGGAAAACCAGAGTGAATATGGAGGTGAAATAGAATGAATGTGAAAAAGAAGCATAGAGAAAATGAAACGATCGTGCCTTGCAGTAGAGTAGAATATCTGTATCAGTCTTGATTTAAAAATCAGAAGATCAACAGTTAAATATACACCAGCAGATAAAAAATTTTCTTTAAAAATTGCTTTTAAATCAAATTTTGAGCTAGAAATCTAAAAAAAAATATTATGTACTACACTACATGTTCTTTAAGACACTTTTAGCTTAATAGGATGGATCATTATCAAAAGTCCTTAAATAAACATCCGGGAGTTTCTTGATCCTTTGGAAGAAGACAGAAATTCATGCAAGACAAGTCAGAGTGACAAGCTGCACCCTGATCTGAAGTAGGTGGGGAGCATTTGATCGTCTGCTCCAGGAAATCCTACACAGAAATGAAGATTTTCACTGAGAAAACAGGACAAAAGAATAGTTGAATCTGAGTTTTTGGTCATCACACTGTCCATTGATTTAAAAATTTACAAAAGACACACACAAACAGCTCATGCATGAAGAGATTCTGAGATTAGCTCAGACCATGACATCCATGTATCATCAAATACTAGACCCCACTCAAGTGATAAAGGGTGCTGACATCTTTGTCCTTAATTGAGTCTTTTGCAAACATTGTATAGAGCTTCTTTATCATCACCTCAGGAACAAGAAAAATATATTAAACAAGCAAGGGTTCACCCCTCTCCCCACAGCAAAAATGTCTGCTTGTTGCATAGAGCTGCACAGGCCTGGAGACAGGTCTAGACCTGTAAGGAGGATGATATACAGCAAAAGATCCAAGCGGCTGCTGAGTGGCGAGCTGAAGTGAGAAGCTGGAAGCAGGATGAGTGACAGAGATGACAAGGACACCCAGGAGCCTAACTTCAATGTGTTGCACAACTCTGGCATGCTGGGAAAGAGTTACAGATGGACGGAATGGATGTGTATTCATCAGGAAGTGGGAGCTGACCCTGAGCTATGGTGCTGGGCAGGTTAGGAGGTGGACAGACATTGTGGCATACAGAGGCAGGTCCTGTAAACTGTGGCCACAGCCACAAACTAAAGGACAGTCTTCAAATGCATGCAGTGTGGAAAGGACCATTGCTAAGTATCATTGACTTTGGGCACAGCACACCTGTACAGAGGAGCACTACCAGTGAAAGGTTAACTTGACCCCTGTCCCAAACACCTGAAATTAATCTTTTACCGGAAATGCATTCAAGGCTAGTTCAACAATTTTGGCCTAAAACCTTATATAATGAAAATACAAGATAGTTCTAGTGGGAGAATTTTCTTTTTTGGTGTATGATGGGCTATTACCACAGTGCTTTAATGATTGTGACTATGTTTTTTAAGATTTTTATTTGTTTTCAAACTCTCAGTTTCTGTCCATGACACTGAATTTGCTGCTGAGTTTATTGACACAGCATCAGAAATAGCATTTAGTTTTTGGATACGGGAAAATATTAGGAAGTTGTGCAAAAGGTCAACTTTAGGAAGTGAACATATTGACTTTGGAGAAAGAAAACATAAACTCTAAAAAGCTCTTTAAAAGTAAGAGTTACAAAATAAGGCAGTCCTACAGGATGACTGCAAGCTTGGGAAGGAAAATGTGGTTATAACTCAATACTGAAGTTTTATCTATTTTTTTTTCAACATAGGGTCTTTCTATGTATCCCAGGCTGGCCTTGAACTCACAGGCCTCCTGCTTTAGCCTCCCAAGTGCTGGTATTACAGGCATGAACCACTATGCCTGGATTTTGAAGTTTTTTAAGAGAAAAGAAATTTTAAAAAGTTTAGTTTAAAAACATACATTTGTCTTGAGTCTCACTTTTTCACTAAGTTTTCTTAATATTTGTTAAGTAAGAGAAATGGGCCTAAATTATACCAAAAAGATCCACACAAAGCATATAGAAGACTGTTTTGACTCTGTGTCTTTGAATGATGGAGTCAAAACTTGACTATGATTAGCTCACAAAGAGAAACATGGAAGTTAGGCAAATAGCAGGCATTCGATAAATGTTTTCTAAATGAGCGAAGAAACTGAGCCTAGATACAGTTCAAAAGCAATACACAGATTGGGGCCTCAGATAACCACAGACCATTCTGAATAGAGATCAACAGTTAAAGAAAAATGGATCTAACCAACATTGGCTTCGTGGGGTGCTCCAAGTTTTTGACTGTGAGGTACCATTAATTTATTTCCTATTTCTGCTTTCCTTCCTCTATGTTCTCTTTGAGAACAGCTGGACTGTCCACTGCTCCCCCTTTTCCCTAAAGAGGTTGGAAGGACCTATACTGTTGATTCACCTCATGCTCTTTAGGGTGGAGAGAACACAATAGCTTCTGGGAAGTAGGTGATGAGGTAGTCAAGGGGCTATATGTCTAGGTGCTGGTGTTATAGACTCCTCACGTGAGATAGCCGCAGGAGTGGAAGAGAGCTTGTGTAAGCATGTAAGACTGTGCCATGGGATCATGCCTAAAGGAGTTTGTTGAAAAATGTGGTGTTTCACCCTGAAACCAGATTGTATACAAGGGTAAGGTCAGACACTATTTGTGGAAAGAAGAATGTGATTTTCTAGATATGATATGGTCTTGTAATTTTGGTCAGGTATATAATGATCTTTGTAAATCTCTAGATGTAAGATATCTAGGCAAATTTGGGGGCGGAGGATGTAGCTCAGTAGTTAAGTGTTTGCCTAACATTCATGAGGCCCACAAATAATAGTTAATTTTGGGTTCTAAGAGAACTAGATAGTAAACACATTTCCTATTAAGCTATCCAGAGCTAGAGCAAATTCTGAGGTGAAGAGAAAAGAACATACTCATTCAACTGCAGAACTATGCCAGGGTCTTTCCTGAATACTGGACACTGATGACTGGAGAGAGTCCCGTGCACAGGTCACCAGCATAATCAATACATTAAAATCATTTATGGTTGATAGGTTCATTCCCACCTGTGTTTCAGCTGCAGTGAGGGCCTGGTGATCTTTCAAAGCGTCTTCTAGTCATAAAGATTTCTGATATCATTCAGTTTTAAATGCGTTAGCTACCAAAAGGCTGTACAAGTCTTACAGAACACAAAGGAGGCCTAGTACCGTAATCTATCTGTGGCCATATCCATGCTGTTAAAATTAAGCAGAAACTTAACTAATTCACCGGTTTCAAGAAAATAAACCAAAGGACCCAGCGCTCAATAATCAACTGAACATTTCTTTTTATTTCAATGTTATGCTTAATTTCTTTGATATTTGGTGAATTTAGACTCATCATAACTAGAAAGATGAATAATGTCTCCATTTGTGAAATTCCTGAGGGAGTCATTTTTTAAAAATTTGGTTTGACATAAGGCCTTGCTATGTAGCCCAGGCTGGCCTGGAACTTGCCATCTTCCTGCCTCAGCAACCCAAGTGCTGGGATTACAGGTGTGTGTAAGCATGCACAGGTGAGGGACTCTTTTTCTACACTGATATTTACATAAATTAATACCGGTAATCCTGAATTGGCATTTAATAACTGAAGAGTCAAATTCTGGTGAGAAAGCTCATTTATTAAAACCCTCCTCATAATCACTAAGGTCTAAACATATTCCTAGGTGAACTGCATACAGTGGGTGTTGTTTGTATACTTCTAATTTTATTTAGTTATTAAAACTTCAGTCTCTCTAGTGGATAATGTACAGACTTTCTGAAACTTGACCAAGGAAGAAGGTGAAAACCATCTAAAACATTTTGCTTAGTTGGAAGAGTTAATGAACCTAAACTACTTGTAAAGATAATGCTTCCTGAATCAACGGGAAATCTAAATGGCACATCTGTTCATTTGGTTAAAAAAAAAATCTCTTTATCTAATGTGACTGGCATCAATGATTCATAAAATTACTTCAGGTCAAATTTTAGCTCAGGGGCATGAATGAGATGAATAGGCCTACTAAATAAAATTCTTGACACAGCTCTCCACCTTTGCACTGTAAAAATTAATGACTGACTACCTCTAGCAGAGTCAGGTCAGTGCTCTCGTAATATAAATAGAGCGTACTCTGATAGCATCAGCTGTTCTATTCAACCCAAAAGGATGAAGTCAGCAGAGGTGATGGGCAACGTGTGGTGGATAGTCATTTTTATTTCCTACATCGCCCATGTCTTCTTGAACTGAGAATTTCTTGGTTCTTTATTCTAATAACATGAATACAACTTTTTAAGGCCATATTTTATCAGTGCCACCTACTGTTAATGCCACTTTGGTGACATTGTTAGGCAAATTATTAATTAAACCTTATCTGGAAAGATGATCACATCTTTCAATTTTTAAAATAATTCTTTTCCTTTAATATGTCTGTTTTGAATGTCTCTATTGTTACTGTTCTTTTTCAGAATAGCTTCTAGAACAGCTATTAAAAAAATACTTCAGCAAGCAAAATGGTGGCCAAGAAGATATTAGGAATATATGTGAAACCTAGGATAAAAAGCCTGCCAAATACAAAACTCCACTGATACTCACTTGAGACCATCAAGAGTTTAAAAAGATGTTATTTTCATTTTTTTGTATTCTTATTTTCTAGACAGTTTTCATGGATATACCTAACATCTATATACATTTTATATACTTTGAATTGACATGTATAATTTGTTATTATTTATCCAAATTGTTATTACTCGTCATTGCAATAAGAAGCTTGAACAGATCAAATGTTGCTTATAGTTTAAAATATAGTACATAATGGGAAATAGTTGACAGAACCACTATGCATATATTATTGAAATAATACTTATAAAAAGAAAATTAATTTTGTGTTTTGGGATAAGCCTCCTTCCTAAACTTAATGATTATTTCAAAGAAATTTTATTTTTCTTTCTGCTATCTGTGGAGCTCTAAGTTAGAATTATTCAGTTATGGTTCAATCATACCTTTCACATCTTCATCCTCAATTGTTGTATTTGAACTTTCAGTTGACTCCTGTTGAGAAGAAAACATGTTGTAAGTTGCACACAATGAATAGATTGATTTCGTCATAAAACAGCGGCTAATGATTTAAACATATCATGCAAAATTCTTCAGCAGGCTGTGTGCATATGCTGACATGCAATGGACAAATACATGAAGTGGTTTTTAACAGAAACAAATGTCAGATGCTGCAAACATTTAAAAAAGGGAGTACTCTGGTTGTCTGATCTCTGATGCACTTTTAATCCAGGTGATTTGTAGAAGAAGCTGAAGTATGCAATTTGTTTTGACAATTGTGTAAGATGTGCTGGTGTTACAGTGTTTCATAAGGTGCTTCTTGTGTGTGTGTGTTCATGGAAATCAAATACATTAGCTGAATGCATCTGAACATTCAAATAGAATAATTTTTATTCCCAGCTAATCAATCAACAGTACCTTTGTGTCAGGAACTATATTAAATACTGAACTTACAGTCTACCTTACTCCCTTGTAGGGAGAGAAAATCTTTCATTGCATCATTTGATGACAAAGCTGAGAGTATTAAGCTGAGATAGGCTGAAAGAGGTTTTAAGAATTTTCATGGTTATGATGAGCACAATGGAATTATAATGAATAATTTATTTTCAAGGTAAATTAGATATTTTTCATCATTTTCTAAATTAGAAACTAGCTGTCATTGATAAGAAACCTTCTCCCATAAAGAAAAGACAAAGTTCTTTCTTTGTAAAACTACAAATTAAGTTGAAGATTAGTAAGCACACTTAAAAGTACACCGTAACTTCCAGTATTATAATACATTTTTCAAATGGTTTGATAAGCGTTTCCATTAAAAATATACTAATAAGATATTTTCTAGCAAAGAAAGTTTTACAATATTTATAAGAAAAACCCAATTTTCTACTTGAAATGATTAAAGACTAGAGGTGAAACTAATTGGAAACCAAGTTCCCATCAACAACTATATGCTCAGTGATGAAAACCAGATTTTGGAAAGTGATGCAAATACCAGTGTCCTTTTAGATTCATTATTTTAAAAAGTGATCTATTTATATAAATATCTGTACATTATTTAAACCAAAGGGATCAACTAATTAAAGATGTACCCAGAGTCTCCATACACACAAAAAACCAAAGGGAAGTCTTCATGCGTTTCTTAATGTGACACAGCATTCAGACTTAAACACAAAACGAAGGTAAACTCATGCACTTCAAAAATAAAGTAATTCATGTCAGCAAGAAATACCATGCAGCAACTCTTACAAATGACAGAGCTAGAATTATGGAAGTGTCCACTCCAGCCGTTACGCTTGCTCTTTTATTTGCTAATGCTATTACAAAATCGTCTCACGTATGACAGCCCTGACTCAAGTCTTTTAGGGACTTGGCACTTGGTGTCATACATGCTATAAAAAACCACAGCATTCCATGTGTTTTTACTTTAATGGTTTTAAAATCGATCAACTAATGTTGAACCAGAGAGGAAATGTGTATTCTAAGCCTAAGAGTAAGGAGAAGACCCATGACTATATTTAAGAAAAGCCTGATGAAGCATTTTTTCCTCCCTTAAGAGATTACAATTATGTATAATAAGGAATAAACCGGAAACATGGAATACACTCAGAAAATGTCTCCTTTTGTCCTCTAAACATGTATGCAAGTGCTGTTATTTTGTGAACATGATGTACAAATAGTCTCCAATAGGTAGAGCGCATTGGTCTTCCTTTAACATAAGTAGTTAAATGTCTGTTACAGAAATGCATAGAACTCAATGACAAACACATTGCACAGAAAGAAAAACCGAATTTTCTCAACTTCGTGCCAAACAACAATAGCAACATTATAAACAGGGAATTGAAAACAAAAACAAAAAACCCACTATGACAACAGAATAGAATAAAACTCAGAAACATCAAATGTAAACAAACACCTGTGAACTCAAGTTGATATTTTTGAAGACAATGGAATGATAGCAAGAAATTCTAAAATTTCATGCAGTACACATCTACCAAACAATGCACAGACAGGCAAAGAGGTAAAACAAAAAAAGACCATATAGAATTGTTTAAGATGCACAGTCATCCTGACACAGAGAAGATTTTATAAATTTAAACTGACTCTTTTGTTTTTCATTGACTAAGGTATCATTGATACCATTGATACTCTTTCAAGCTGTCATTCATTTTTATTTGAAAGAAGTCTACATATAGGTCTAGGTCAATTAGGCCAAAAAAGAAAGTATGGCAGAAAAAGGGTAGAGATTTTCTTTTCTATTTTTAGATGATGAATTAATTTTGCATTGAGTATTTGATGAGATGTGTAATCTTGTTAAAGCAAGATGATGTTGATTCTTTCTGAATACCTTGTTTCCATCAGGGTTGTGGATTACAGTAGTTTGGGGCTCCTGAGTGAGAACAAAATAGAGAAAGAAATAGTTCGCATTGGTAAGTACATTCTCACTAGTATGAGGGGACAGAGCAGAGAGCCAACTGACAAAACTAAATAATGACAAGAGCAAAAGCAATGTTACTGCCGTCAGAGGTTGCACCTGGCAAGATCTCTGATGAAAGATGTCCCTGGTGAGCCCATGAGACAGGACACCTCGCTACTCAGAAGCAGCATGCAAAAGACCTTATTCCTGACCAGTATATAGACAAGGCTTTGAAATCTGGAGACCTAAAGAGGCACTCACTGTTTCACCAAGTCTTATGCTAGATAGAACTTTCCTTCTTTTTAATGAATGGCCTGCTAACTTAGGTCCCCTAGAAAACTGGCCATCGACACTGGAGATAGAACTCTTTGAAAGGACTTTAAATTCTTTGTGCAGGTATTTTTAGCTATATTGCTTTGAGAACTAATTATGGCATCATAATTAAAACATAGCTGAATGCACCTGGAAAATCTAGAAACACTGGACCTCACTTAAAAAAAGAAGAGACTCTCTTGAAGAGTACATTTCAAAAACCAATGAGAAATTCTAAGGAATTTTTAAAAGGTTTATTTTAGAATGAATCGTAGAACCACTATATTTGGAAACACACTTTTATTAAATCTTGTGCTAACTCCTATTTACAAGAAAAATTTTTTTTATAAACTTTATATTCAGAATCCTTCGCTGGAAAGTCATGTTTTTCCATAAAGAAAATATTATTCTTTCCATGTCTTTCAATCATAATATCAAAAAAATGATCAGTTAGAAAATAATATTCAAAATAACTGATGTAAAAAATGCTCAGTGTTCATGCATCAATGGCACTTCCTTTACAAGATGACATGGCATCTGGGCTTTACTGTAACCCACTGAGTTCCCTTCCACCCCAGGTACTTTCCCACCATGACACTGCACGCTGTTTCCTTTTCTCCTTTCCCTGCTTACCTCTACGGGCAACATTGGTTTTTACTGGTAAATGATCTGCTATCTTCCCTCTGACAACCCTCAGACATCATTTTCTTGTAGTACTGGGGATAAAACCCCAGGTCCATGTATGCTAGGCAAACTCTCTACCACTGAGCTATACCCTCATTCCTAATAATCTGCTATGTTGATGCCTTTAAGTGTTTTTAAATTGAACCTACTTGTTAACAAGTGAAATAACCTCCTAACATTTTTTATTCCTCTAAAATAACAATCCTCAACAGTAACAAATAAAAAGCATTTCTGAAACTTTCAAATCAAAATATCAAACAGTTTGAAGAAAATGTTATGGGCCACAGAGAGTTCTGAGTGCCAGTATTCAAATTTTGAATTTTAACATAACACCATCTCAACGTGATAAACTGATTTACTTGTTAATTGTGTGGATTTGACTGAGATGGAAAAAACTGTTTTCCATTGGTAATTCAATGTTCTATGCTACGTGATTTCATTCTTTGGATTAAAGTGAAACAGTGAAAAATTAATTCAGAATACAATCAACAAAAAGCTTTAAATTATCTAGTGCCTCTTTATCTCAGTATGTGAGGTCTTACAAAGCCATGGTTGTTGTCTTTCAATGAGAGGGAAATGGGGACTCTGAATAAGGTCAACATTTTTATGTTGTATAGCAATCTCCTGTTAGCTCTCCTTGATGACAACATTTGCGTCACCAAAAGAAGAAACCATTCTTTGCATAATCTAGAACTATCATCATCAGAAGAGCTAAGAGTAACCACAGCGCATTCTACTTTATTTCTAAGGCAGCATGCAACACTTTCAACTGCAGAGACCAGTACAATGTTCAACAATGAAATGAGATAATCTCATGTTAGAAACACACTGCTTGACAACTATCATAACAAAAAGGAAAGGAAAACAAAAGAAATGAACTTTTTATATCTTAGAAAGCAAAAAAAAAAACCCCAACGAAATAAAATATTTAAATATATGTATGAAATAGTGAAAGCAAATGAGAAGAACAACAAAAAAACAGTAAAGAACTTAAGGGTTACAAAGAGTCCAGGTATACCAGCGCCGGGGTAGGAATATTTTCTTTGGGGCTGGTTACCACGTTGGCTTTGTTGTTTATCTGTGGGTATGCAGAAAATAGAAACAAGAGAGGCCTTAAACTCCGTGGTAGCCAATGTCTCCATATGCAGTATGTCTACATGGAGATATAGACATGAAAATAAAGAGCCACTAAAGATGAACATGAAAGACAAAGTGACGACTGACAGGAATGATAATCACGTGGATTCTTCAAAGATCACACATAGGCTATAGGACCTGCTTGTGATGGTAGAATGAGAAAGCAGATGTGGCTACTTTGGTTTAGCATACAAAGAGTGGCTTCGATGGAGCTCGAAGTTTCAGAGTATGAAGTGAATATGGCTTTTTTCATACTCCTCAAGTTAGATTCTGTTTCCAAGCTTCCAATTGTTCACTGTTATGAATACATTCATTTTCCCCCCATTTTGTTCTTGAGTCTGAAGTCACACATAGACCATCTGTCTCTGGGACGCCATCATGACTTTGTTCACTAAGTATCCAATTAAAAGCTTGGATCTTCTCACAAAATGTAGGTATTAAAATATTTTTTAAAAAAGTAAGTCTGGGTCTCCTTTTAAAATATAGCTTCGATTGTGAATGGGGAAATCAAACTCTTTATGCTGAATGCTAAAGAACTTTATTTTTCACAATTGCTTGAGAAGAAAACACTATGGTTCCTGTCAAAGTGTTATTGCTACTGTTGAGGAATATACTTGGTACTGTCATTCCCTTTCATTAGACAATTGAGTCTATTCTTCAAGAAGATATCTTTATCACTGTGGGAGCCATGTTGTAAAAGAAACTCAGAGCTAATAAATATTGTAATGGCCCACAGAAGAAGACTCTTTGTAGACAAGTGGCAACTTGGAACTATAATTGGCTTTATGCACTAAAGAATAAAAGACTAAAAAAGTAATAATCAACATTATTTTAAATTCATGCATGACACATTACATAATGGTTGTCAAGCATACATATAAATTAATATTCATTTCCTTATACTGTTATTTAGGCATTTTCATTATGTGTTATATAAAGGAATATACCACAGTTTTAATATAAATATGAATTACTTATGAAGTTAAAGAGAAACATATACTGCATAAAATAAGTGAATACCAAATGAGTATTTACAAGTGACTACACAAGCAATCATTTGGGCTTTCTGGTAAGTCTAGTCTTTATGCCCATAAATTGTTTTGAGGATTGTTTTGAGAGGAAGACAGATAGCAAGAGGAATTAATGTAGGTATGCAATATTTTTCCTATTCATTCATATTTGTGTGGTTATTGGTATTGATACTATTGAAATAAGTTGTAACACTGTGCTCTGAGACATGCAGGAAAAGAGAAAACTTCTAAACTTTTCTTTTACTGGAAAACTTATTAAATGTTAAACGATCAATCCACATTTTGCAGATAGCTTCAGAAAAGTCTTTCTTTGAATCCAAGTGCACAGAATTTAACACAAAATTTGTGCTGTAGCAAAAAGAGTAAAAGGTAATGTTGTCTATTAAAGAGGTATGAAAATGCACTTATGTTAGTATAAGATACAAGAGAAAAGGGGAGAGATGCACAAACAACTTCCTATTCAGTAAGAGTGCCTAGCAAAACATTGCTGGCTTAGGTGCCACATGTTATTGAAAATGTTCCAAATGCATACCAATACTAAGAAACTTAGTGTCCAAGTACAAACTTATCCCCCCATACACATTCACACATTGACAAACAGCACCCCTTTCGCTCTCTCCCAAATGAAGCTCATTCTGTAAATGAGAAACCACTCTTTATCCTCAGATGCGGGAAACATGACTTAAATGGATATGTACCTCAAGTACTACTTTCAATCATGTACTTAAAAACTTTTTTGGATAATGTAAAAAATTTGCTTAACAATCATTTTTTACTATGGGAAAGATTTTGGAGGCATTTCAACAACAATAGAAAAATTTCTAAAGAGTCAAATATGAAGTATGAGTTCAACACAGCTATCTTTTAAACATACAAGTGAATGTAGTCATTTTACATTATGGAAGTAGAATATTTTTCTTTTGTAAAAACAGCTAATAATCGATATTTAAATGGTGAACTGAAGTATTCTTATGAGGCATGGGCAAGATGTTAGGTGTTGAATTTATTGTGTTGAGATCGATATGTATTTCCATTACAGTAGTTAGACAGAATGGGTCCACTGTAAAATCACTTTCACATTATTTATAGAATCCATGGTGAATGTATTATAGTCTGTCTCAACTATGAGTCACTTCTAATTTAGCAATCATGCTCATTAAAAAGTGTAATTCTGTAGGGTGTCTTCACTTAGGAGTAAACATTCATTATGTCATGGTCTCTTTATTTTCAAAAAGAAATTGGATTTTGTCCTTATAGAAGGTCTAGCTCACTAAGAGCATATGGATAAGGGTTTGACTTCTTACATATTAAAAAAATTCAGTTTCAGAGAAAAAACAATATAATGTGAAAGTGGGTAGCATGTTTTGATAGTTGGTTAATACAGAGCTGTAATCATTCTGTACTTTTTCAACTTAACGCTCAGGTAGGTAAATAAAGCTGTCTTATTCCTAAGTGTAAATTTTTATAGGAGGAGAAATCTGGCAGACAGAGATCCTCACCATCATCTGAACACTCGAACTGGACTTCCTTTTCTGAATTGACCAGTCAAAGAGAAAGGAAAAGAAAAAAAATATGACCGGTTGAATTTAAAGTACCAAAGTATGGAACACAGAATAATTTTGTCTTTAAAGAGGAGATACAAATTAGCTGGAAGAAAAAAGTTCTAAGGAAGTTTCTTTCTATATAAGGATAGTAGTGAAAATAAGTATCTAAATTGAACTGTGAGCTCTCCACCACTGAACAGTGCAGAAAAACCCAGAAGAAAACATTTTGAAAATTTAAAATACCACATTTTTTACCAATGCAAAACTGGGCAAAAGGCAGTCATCAACTATCATTATTGAAATCTAAACTAGATAAATAAGCAGAAGGAAGACACAAATAGAGTTTGAGGAAAGCAACTGGTAATGGAAATGCCATCCTAACAGGAATCACAGGTGCTTGGTCACCATGGCTCTGGAAACTCCCAACTCACATAGACAGGTGGTGACGAAATGACTGGGTATGCACATAAGAAGTGACAAAGGATTTTCTGTGTTATATTTTTCAATATGAACTGATCACCTCCCTTTTGATCAAGTTCAAATGTTAGAATACTAATTAATTTCCAAGAAAGTTGAAGTGTTGATGAGTGTATGCATCTGTCATTGGAAGAGAAACAAAGGATTAAAAAATAAAACTTTCAGGTGTCACTCTGGAAAAATAACAAATATTATTGTGCAAATATAAGGTTACATTCTATTAAAAGTAAAATCCCTTGAAACAAAACACATTCATTAAAGAATAAGTTGCATCATTTTGATTAGAAATCCAAAAATCAAAATATTCTGCTGTATTCTTCTTAGAAGGTATTCTAATATTTGTTCAGAATATGCACCTTCCATATGTCGCTAATCCTTATGACAGAAACACAAAAACAGTTATACCTTTAAACTGCTCAAGCAGAGAAATTTAGTCTTTTGATGTTCAATTTGTCAGACCCACTGTGAGTTTTCCCCCCAGTTTTTGGTGGCCTTCAAGTACACATCATCATTACTTGGAACATTTGGTTTTCACAGCTTTTTGTGTCACCATGGTAGCATGGGATTGTAGTAAAGCAGAGAGGACTTAGATATTCACTTTCTATAGGAGCTATATATAAAAACATTACTTTCATCATTACTTTATATATAAACAAATAGAAAAGAGAACTTTTATAGTACACATATTAATCATCTTTGTGTATTAAATTATTTCATATTTCAAGCTATGCCCTTTTGAAAGAACTACTGAGATTTATATTTAACACTTTAAAATTATCCAGTATCTGAAAGTCAGAAATGGTTTAAGAGCACCCACTTAACTTACCTTTACTCCATCTGGTTTTTTCAACAAACTCTTGGCTGCTGCAAAAATGATAGTAAAACTGGTTTAGTGAGTTATGCACAGAAACTCAGAGCTAGGCAATAAAGCATGTTATTGTCTCCTACCACCTGGCTGAGTTATGGCCGACATATGCCAAGTTATCAAAATCACACTGATGAGAGCGAGCTTACGGGACATTGAGATTCAGTATCACTTTTCTGGTTTTGCCACAAAAATTTAGGACTCAATTCTCATGTAGTTCATTGCATAAAATTAAACACTTTGCCAGTATTTGTTGTTATTGGACTTGATTTCACTGCTGGTTGTGAAAAGGATACTGGAACTTTAACTGGACTATCCTTTTGTAATCCAGAAAGTTGGTTTCAGTCTTTAGACATCAGCTGACAGATTGAATTACATGTTCATTCACACCACAAGTATGGTGACCATGTCAGTTCTGCACTGAAGCCCCTCTTTCTAGAGGGTGAAAACTCATTTGTAAAAATTTGCCCTGGTGAAACATCCTCCTTATCTTTTTGAACTCAGGTAATTTCAGCTTTACAAATCATAACTAGTTAAAATGACCTAGAGCAAATTTTTAAAATGTTTAGCATTTGGCCTTAAAAAATAGCAGTATGTATTCTTTTACAGTTCAAAATCGGAATACAAAGGCTTCCTTACAAAAGCCTTTAAATTGTAAAATGAAAGCCATAAAATTTGAGACAAGATATAAAATAAAATGAAATCTTTAAATCAGAAAAACTCTAAAGCATATGGTCTTATATGACACTTCATGTTTCTTGGGGGGAAGTCTTTATTATTCCTAGCATTACTGTACTTCCTGAGTATCTTAAGTGGTGAAGTCATCCTTTCAAAAATATACTTATGGACAGATACATACAGTGAGCAGATAATATAACTGTCAGTGACAATTTGTACACCAAGTGCAGAGCATTCACCCATATGCAGGACAAGGTACACACTTCCACTTAATGTTAATTATATATAGTTATGTAATCGAATCAAAATAGAATTTGCATCTGAAGTGGAAATACATAGTTATAAAAAGCTGCATGGATATGTAATTTCTTTTGATTTGGGACACTATTTTGATGATCTCTTTGGCATAATTTTTAAATTTATTTGAAAGATGCAAAAGTGTTCATTTTATTTAGTCTTTAGCAATAAAGATATTAATTTTATTATCAATTGATACAAAACTGCCTGGAGCTAAAAAGCATCATTTATAATATCCTGTGGCACTTAGTAGATTAGTAAGCAAACTCAGAATAACTGGAATTGCAGTAGCAAGCAAAGAGAAGACAATGATTCAGGTAAGCAGCAATTTGCTCTGGGAGGTGCAGAAATGTCCCTTTCGGTTACTATTTACCTTACCTCACAAGAAATACATTCCACATACAGGGAGAAAAGAAAAAATAAAAACAACTTTATAACCATGTATTTATGGACAGATTATTCTAAAAAGCATGTCTGGCAATGAAAATAGAATGAATAAAACATTTAAAACTAAAATGCAGCATCAAGTACAAGATGTTGTAGCTGAGTCTAATGTTATCAGTTGATTTTGAGGTGTTATGCAGTTGTTTTTCATGCTAAGACATTAAAAGAAGATATAAAATCCACACATTAGTTATGAGTTTTTAGTTTGCAGGATGATGGAAAGGAAATTATGAGGTAAATAAAAAGCAAACATTTATTAATAAAGGCCCATTTAAGAGTGTATTTAACATTTCAATAAGATATGTATTTTTAATTTGGGGATTTTACAGTTTGCCATTAACAATATATAACTATATATTGCTAACAATATATAACTATATATTTATACCGAATGATTTCATTCTACCTTTTAGTGATTCACTAATTACTGGGCCATAATGAAATATTAATTCATTTTAATATAGTGTCAATTAATACATAATGAGATGGCATTAAACCCACCCATATAAATGTGAACCACACTAATCAAGTGTTTATAAAGCAGATAAGTTGACAAAAGTAGCAACAAGGTTTTATTACACAAAACAAATCGAACAGAAAACATGCAACTGAGCAACACAGTCTCTCAATTTGTACCCCTGCTCATTGTACTATTATTACTGCTGTTATTGTTTAACAGCCTATTGGTTTCACATTATCTCTAACTACATGGAAAGGGGTATAAAGGTGATTATTTAATACAGTTGCAAATAGTAACTAGAACTGGGTGAAAGAGCAGTTGATAACAAGATGACAGATCACCACCTCATATCACCATAGCACCCAGGTGAGGTTAGACAAAGAACTGAACAAATGACTGGATGAGCTGGTGCTGCCAATCAGTGTGTGTGAACAGTATGCAGACTAAAGTGATAACTCATTTGGTACTCACTTTTACAACTGTTCTAACATCCAAACTACAGGTTTGTCAAGTGCAGCTTAACTGGTTCTCCAGTTCTTCTACATACATGAGAATGATTAGTATTTACCAAAATTTGGTTTTTGAAATGTAGAGCTTTGAGATAATCTGACAAAGGAGAGGGCCCCAAAACTTAAATAGATTTCTGGAAGTAATAAATACTTTACCTCCAGTTTGGAAAGTCACATTTACAATAAAGAAACTGGCTTTATTTAGCCCTTATTTAACAAACTTATTATTATCATTTTTTACCATGGAATCATTTTGAGGAGTGTTTATTATCCTATGATATCCCTGTGCGGTAAATTCTCTGTAAGTTCTTGAGTTAGATTCCTTTGACAGTTGTAATCACTCTTGTAGCATGCCAAGATACTGTTGAACTTTAGGCATAACTTAGATCAGAGAACTACGGTCCACAATAATGGTCTTATTTTTCAAATCTTGCTTATTTAAATTCCCTATGAGAATGAGACAAAAAAATCCCTTATTCATAGTTACTACTTTATAAAATATCATTAATAAATTGTAAGTTTGAAATGTTGAGGTTCGAAATGAGGGAGTACATATCTCTACAACTTGTGTTCACTCCAGCATTTGACAGCTGGTGTTCAGTCCTGCTCAGTACTCATGACTGTTTACAGCTACTCCAGGTGGTCCTGTGAGGACTGTAGTCCCATGAAGCTTTGCAGTGGGCAGCACCCAGTCTCAGTAGTAATGGCAGCCACAGATGTGGAGGGAATCTATGACACACATTTGCCATCCCTGAACAACAGAATTTTCCTAATCATTAGATTTTCTGAATTCTGAAAAAATCAAATCGAACAATCGAACAAACAAACACTCTCCAACCAAACCCTACTAAGAAGGACAGCAGAGCTAAGGAGCAGAGTTCTTAATGCATATACCTGAAAAATTCCTTGTAGCCAACATAGTTGTCAAGATGGCGCCCTGTCAAAGAAGGAAGAAAACAAAGTCAGTGTTGCCTCTGCAAATCTTTGACACACTCTTGGATAACAAATCCTCTCCTGGTCTTATTTTCAGTTAGGGGATTTTTGACTGTTTGTTTTTGTTTTGTGGTTTCCTGAGAGTCCTAGGCTGTGTCTTGCAGGATGCCATGACTGCTCTAATGTGTGGGCCAGATTTAGATGATCAAATTGCACAGCTGTTTTCCACTAAAGGCAGAAACCACAGCACACATTGCCACACTGATCCCAACTTCTCACCCAAAGTTTGATTCTCATATATATTCCATTCTCCCAAGACTCAGGAAAAGAATAAGAATATGGAGATCCATATCCTTACTTTTGCTAAAAGTTATTTGCTCCCTCCATTAGTTTATTCTCACTCTGCCAAATCTACCTCCGCACAATAATGCAAAATTTCTTACCTTAAGTTTCCGTCTAGCATTAAATTTCTTCAAGCAGTCTACAGTCTCCTGTCTGTGCATCATAGAAGCAACAGTAGAACGTTGCTGGAAGAAGAGGAGAAAAAGGTGACTTGACTAGGGATATTTAAACATACTAAGTAGAATAGTATCTGCAACTTCATTAAATATTTATTGCTGGTACACACATTCATATGATCAACTTGTAATTATCCAATGGGCAAAATTACTTAAAAATGAAAGAATGACTTTGCCAAGACTATTAGTGGCTGAGCTGAAACATCTTTGTACAGAAAATGCAGAAATGAATATTACTAGTTTCCCAAGTTATCTTCATTTCAATAAGCCTGTAAGCACATTTCTATTGGATTGCCTTTCATTTACTTTGTACCATATCTATTGCTCTAACATTTGTCCCTAGAAATTCACTGCAGGTTTTAGATTCCTCCAAGTTCCCCTCCCACTCTTTTTTGGTTAGTTCTTCTAAACTGTATTTAGAATACTATGGCCATCCTTTTATGCAAGTAAAACTCTACTCCCAGGTTCTAAATCTCATACATGTTTCTAAAGCTCCTTAATAATTCAACTATGTCTGATTTTTTCTTCTGGGATGCAATAAATCTTGGTATTATTTTTTTAACCTCCATTCAGAAGTCTTTTCAGAAACTTACATGGGGAATTCTCATTGCTTATAGGCAATATTTACTTAGTAATCTATGCATAACAGACTTTCTACTGGAAATGACTTTTTTTTGCCATTATAAAATTCATTTTCTTAAAATACCTCGGGTGAAAAATACATTAATTCTGAGTTTCATCTTTTTCTGCAGAATTATTTTAAATCCTTGAAAAAATATTAAGGGAGAGTTTGTTGATCATTTTGGCTCCTAAGGGTTTTGTAGAACTGTTACTTACACAGATCCATGGGTGTTTCAGTGCCTCTGAGGCTGTAATGCGTTTGGCAGGGTTGATGGTAAGCATTTTGTTGATGAGGTCTTTGGCTTCAGGTGTCACTGTGTCCCATTCTGGTGATGGAAACTTCAAAGATATAAGTTTACAATTTTTTTAAAAAGATATACTTAGTAAAATAGGGAAGAGCCAAATACAATAATAATTTCTGTAAGTAGTGAATTTTTTCATGAATTTAGCTTTTATACAAACAAAATTATATTCAAAGTAGATAAATTGATTGAGTTATATTCCTCCATGTATAAAATTCCATAGATTAAAGAGTAATGGATAAGAGATCAACACATGTACTGAACAGTATATTATACATAGTAAATACATTTTAAAACATAGAAAAATAACTTAGAATCTTCTATTCTTCTCAAAATACCTTTGTTTGATCTGAAAAATTAGATCTTATGCCATATTTCTTCATAATTTCTGGCAAATCTCAGTAGAAGCAGCCGGGCTGTCACATGTGTTGATGGCATCATGCTACTGTGCCAGGGTTCAGTATGCAGTGTGTCAGACTTCACAGCTCATTGGCAGCAGTAGCACAGATAATAAAACAGCTTTAATTCCTAGGCCAAAATAGACCTATTATTCATGGCTTCTCGGAGGTGCAGTGAGGAGAAATCTGAGATTACAAGAGCTCCAGTAGGATTTCAGGTTAACTCTCACCAGCAACCTCAAAAAAAGATAATCCTAGTTCTGTTTCACAAAGTATGTAAGTAACCAACTGTCATTAATTCCCATTAGTAATCCATCTTTACATTACCAACTATGTAATGAAGCCATTTTTTCTCTTTGCTTTTTATTGACAATTATTTAACCTTCCTTTCATATAAGTAGTGTATTTAGTAGAAATAATATTCATCAGAAATTTACCTAATTTACTAAAGGACAGGCTGTTTCCTAATTCATGAACTTTGATAGAAAATCTTGAAAAGCAAAGCCATTGATATGGTTTTATGGAATTAAATCAGTATATTTTAAGTAGTTACAGAAAAGAAAGCTTGTGACTAATAACAAAGTGCACAATAAAAAAATGGTTAATATCTCTAATTTTTTCCAGTTTAGTAATTCTCTCTCTCTCTCTTTTTTTTTTGTTAAAAGTGTTTTTACATTGCTGTGCTGGGTGAGGGTACACTGTAGCATTTACAAATGTTCTTACAATATATCAAATATATCATACTTGAATTTTCATTTTTTAGTTTCAGAAGAGTACCTTGGGTAATTTCAAAAACTTGCCATCAGGAGCTGTTGGAGAAACACTCAAGACAGTGTCTTAATGTTACACAAGTCTTCTGACGGCGAACGAGGGACTGGTTTATCCCAAAAAAAGGTGGCCCCTTTCCTTGTTTTGCTAATTTCCGCAAAGTCACCAAGCAAAGCATCCTCAGGATTGTGTCTGACAAGAGACAGGCTTGGTTCTAGTTTGTAAAGATGATGAATGTGCTACCTGTGGGTACGTCATGATGATCTGGTCCAATTATTAGTCTAGTTACAGAGGAATGCTTCAAAATATAAAGAACAAACATTTTAAATTGCAATTGCTGATAACTAATTTAGATATTCCTCTAAATAGAATATTTTAACAGAAACACATTGAAGTGGCCATTGGTCTAGATAGATACAATAAAGACTTTCCATTATCTATTCTTCTTCCTTCCACATTGAGGTTTTAGCTTGTGCAAGAGGTGAACCAACTTAGTTAACCAACTTAAAAATACATAGAAAGCATTCTCAGATTCTGTACTTGGATTTACAGAAAACTGCATGAGGTGAACCTGAGAACATAGTAAATTATATTTAGACAAATGCAGTCGTGTGCTGAGTAATGACATTTTGGTCAACAATGGGTCAACAGGTCAGTGGCCTCATGGAGGTGAAGACTTCCTACCACCTAAGGATGTAGCCATCAAAACACCACAGCACAAAATATGGCCATGTTTGGGATGAGGCTCATGTGACCAAACCTCCTGCACTGCCAGTCACATAGGAATATAATACATGTGATTATGTGTAGAAATACAGGACAGTATATTTGATATTGCGAAAAACTATGTAACAACTATGTTACTGGTTTATGTATTTACTATACCATATTTTTTATCATTATGTTAGATTGTACTCCTTTCATTTCCAAACAACTGTTTACTGTAAACCAGTGCACTGTTACTTCAACAGCAACCTCATAGCTCTCCTTGACTGCATCAAGGAGCCGAATCAACCGGTTCACTTACAACATGTTGGTTTGTCTAAGCACACACCATGATGTTCACACAATGGCAAAATCACTTAATAATGCATTTCTTAAAAACTATTCCCATTGTTAAGCAATACATGACTGTATTGGTGATACAAATTTATGGAAACAGCCAAGATGCCCCACTACTGATGAATGGATTAAGAAAATGTGGTATTTATACACAATGGAATTTTATGCAGCCATAAAGAAGAACAAAATGTTTATCATTTGCTGGTAAATGGATGGAATTGAAGAACATTCTGAGTGAGGTTAGCCTGGCCCAAAAGACCAAAAATCATATGTTCTCCCTCATATGCGGACATTAGATCAAGGGCAAACACAACAATGGGATTGGACTTTGAGCACATGATAAAAGCGAGAGCACACAAGGGAGGTGTGAGGATAGGTAAGACACCTCAAAAACTAGATAGCATTTGTTGCCCTCAATGCAGAGAAACTAAAGTAGTTTAAGGTTAAAAGCAACTGAGGCCAATAGGAGAAGGGGACCAGGAACTAGAGAAAAGGTTAGTTCGAGAAGAATTAACTTAGAAGGTAACACACATGCACAGGAAATCAATGCGAGTGAACTCCCTGTATAGCTATCCTTAACTCAACTAGTAAAAACCCTTGATCCTTCCTGTTATTGCTTATACTCTCTCTTCAACAAAATTAGAGGTAAGGGCAAAATAGTTTCTGCCAGGTAGTGAGGGGGTGGGGGGGAGAAGGAGGGCATGAGGGGATAAGGGAGGGGGTGGGGGAAGGGGGGAGAAATGACACAAACATTGTATGCACATATGAATAAAATAAAAATTTTTTTAAAAAGATGAAGTATAAAAATAAGTAGTTTTTTTTCAGATTCTGAACCTAATTCATAAATGTATATGCGTATATATTTTTGAATATGAATTGTATTAGAATTGTGAACCTATTTTTTTCAAGTGAAAGCTTGCATAGAAGACTATTATATAAATTAGACAAACAAAACCAGAAATTGAAATAGTGGAAAGTGCAAATATTGTTGGCATGTAATTAGAAAGCACATGGTAAACATTTAGGTATATACTTCACCTAAAGAGGCAGTAATCTTTTCTGAAGCTGAAATCTTTTAACTTTTATATGTTTTAAAATACAACATATCTGAAAAATTTGAGGAGTAAACTGTTTTCTCAGAGACCTCAAACTTCTTTCAATCTAAGGGGATAGTGAGATTAAACAGAATACAAAATAAAGGCATGTTGCATTTCTTACCCGTGTTATAATTTTTTTAAGACAGCATTTTGCTATGGAGCCCAGGCTGCCACGAAATCCCTATCATCTTGTCTCAGACTATTGAGTGCTGAGATCACAGACATCTATCACTACACCTGGCTCTACTTCTACTCTTTATTTCTCTTTTCCTAATGGAAAAGTAATAGAAGTCATAAGAGAAACTGCTGAAAATTATGGTTAAGAAAACAATGAAAAAAATCTGACCTTTGGTCAAAAAACCAAAACCCTCATCAAAAGTGATACAAATATTTACTACATACATCATAAGCGCCAGCCTTGATCTGCTGATAGAGTCTGTGTTGGTCTTCATCCCAGAAGGGTGGATACCCCACCAGCAGAATGTATAGAATGACACCTGGGGGAAATGAGCATATTAACATAATTTAAGTCATACATATAACAGTACACTAAATGTGGCTGGTTCCCAATGCTATTAAGCCACAGCAATTAAAACAGAGGGAAGTGCATTGTAAAACACCTGAGAGAGGTGTGTTAGAAGCTATTTTGAAGGCCTCCATGTTGTGGAGAGTGCACATTCCCTTTGCTATGTTCAAGACCTCTGACACTGTGTCAGTCCACCACATGGACCAAAGAATTCTAAAGAGGCATTGCAGAACAACATCTAAAGATGGAAATATCTGTCATTTTGAGTGACACATTCTTTGGCTTCCTTGGATTCTTGTCTATGTAGATTTTGTGTACGTTGATAGTTAAAAACTTAACATGTTATTCATTTCTTGATAGTCATTTTGTTGATAATTAGGGCTTTTTCTTGAATGATGGTGTTTAATTATAAATTCATGCTCTAAGTTAGCCAAGGTCCCTGGGAGTATGGATAACATAAAAAGACAAACTATTTTCTCTTTAGTGATCTTAGTCTTTAAAACCAGAGTTTTTCAGTCAAACAACTATTCCAGTATTACTACAGAAGAGCACATAGAAGAAAGTAAAAAGGAAGAGAAGGGTAAAATTGCACATAAATTAAAACAATAAACACACAGTTGTGACACAGCTTGATATCTTTCTCGTAAATATGTAAGTACAGTCCCTTGGCATCCACAAGGAACTAATTCCAGGATCATCCCCCAGTTACCAAAGTCTGTGGATTTTCAATTCACTATACAAAATCACATAATTTATTAGTCTATGCACATCCTCCTAGTAGTTAAAATCATCTATAGAAAACTTATAATGGTGAGTATAATGCAAGTCTGTATAGACAGGTGTTATACTGCATTGTTTAAGAGACCAGTGACAAGAAAAAATGTCCATGCGCAGTCAGTACACATGCATTTTCCCCAACATTTTTGATTTGTGCTTCATTGTGTGCAGGTGTAGAATCTGCATACAGAGGGATGATTGTATTTATAAATTAATTTGTTCAATATATGAGTCAACTATTAAATTAAAAATACAGTATGTATTCACAACAGACTTTTAACTTTCTCTGAAATGATATATGCAATATAGATGTTTCCTATCTTGACACCTGGTCCCCTTTGCTATCAAACATTTCTCCTGCTATTTTTCACATACTTTATTGACCTGCTTCAGTTCTTTAGTTTCTTTTCTAGCTCATTATCCCAGAGGAAAGTCTGTTATCCTCTAGCCTCTCCTGTGAGCTCTTCTCTTGCTATTTCTTTCCTTAAGCCTAGAAAATCCAAGGAAGAAGAGTACAATAGCTGATTCTCTGCCTGGGTGCCCTGGGACTCCTTTCTTCCCCTATCAGAAGTGCTGTCTTGGTTTCTGTGCCTTATGTATGTTGGGGAGCTCTAGCCCCGCTCCTGCCCGCCAGTCTGGACACCTTCATACAAAAGAAGTAGCAATGGTTTAATTGCCTTAGAGTTTTATAGTCTACAGGAAGAACCAATTCAAACCAGATTTTTAAAGTCACGTGAATTGGGTTGGGGCTACCACTCAGTGATAGAGCACTTGGCTCACATGATCGAGATCCTGGGTTCCATCCCCAGCATTCCAAAAGAAATGAATGACCAATAACGTCATGTGAGTCACTACCAGAATGGTACAGTTTGAATCTTGAAAGTTCTCCAAGGGCCCATATGTTACAGGTTTGGTCCCCAGGGATGTGTATTAGGAAGTGGTGGAACCTTTAAAGGGTGAGGCCTAGAGAGAGGTCTTTAGGTGATTAGGGTATGCTCTTGAACTGGTGTATGAGATCCTGATGCTTTCCTCTTCCTCTTTGCTCCTTGGCCAGGAGGTGAGTGGTTTTGCTCCACCATGTGTTCCTGCCATGGTGTTGTGCCTCGCCATAGATTCAAATGCAACAGTGGCCATGGATCACAGGCAGTGACCTCCCAACAGGTGGGCTAAAATGCCTTCTTTCTTTAGAAGATGATTATCTGAGGGATTTTGTTATAGTAATGAAAAGCTAACACACAGCAAAACATTTTAAACAACATTCTTGAATTAAAGAAAAATTCTGTTAAGGTTTATAAATTAAGACCTGAAGTTATTTTACCACAATGGAGTTATCAAAAAAAAGTAACATGAAGAAAATTACAATACAGTGTTCTTCACTACACAACATAAAAATTTTTACATATTAGAGATTTAATGTTTATTGATTTAAATTTATTTTCATATTATCCTTACTATTTGATGTAACAGATGCATCAAATAACGATGATGATCATGATGAGAACAAATGTTTGTCTATGTTTCCAGGAAGTGAGCAGAAAGGAAACAGTTTTAGCTCTTTCTTATGGTTCAGGGGGTGAAGAAGAAAATTTGCCTTGTAATGGCAACAACCACCTCTGTTGAATCTGGACATTTTCCTAATAAACACGGAGTTAGGCTGTGATAAAATCATTAAACAGACTCTCAGCTGAGACATTTTGCATCTGAACTTCAGCTGTTCTTTCTGGTGAGCTATGTCTGGAGTTGACACTTAATGTAGAACTTCTCTGGAAAGGTGAAGCTCTTTGAGGACTCCTGCCTGACAAGAGTAGCTGATATCATCACAACCATGATTTACTTATTTAAATGAGGAGTTTCTATGAAAGAACATGTACTTTCAATAAAATGAAAGCATATATTTTGGAGATTTTAAAATTTCGTTTATGCTCAAAGACTTAAAAGAATAAAAAAACGAGAAAGGTAGTGTTGAATAGACTGATGTAAAATCGTTAATGCTTCTTTAAATAAACATTGTTTCCTAAGCTTCTTTTGACTTGATCATTAGACTTCAGGCCAGGGCCTTTCTGAGTTATCCTCTCTTATATTTTTGAAAAGTATATTTCTATTTTCTGAAGGTATGGAAGAACATTGAGAGTTGTAGCATAATGATAAAGTAATGCTACTTTTCCTTAGAGGTAACATTTATTGAGCAGTTACACGTGCTTTAATGCATTACCTCATTTAATCCTTGTATGGTGCTATGTAGTCCATACTGTTACCATCCCCATTCATAGATAAAAACGATGAGGCTAAGAGGTTAAGTAACTTAACTGCCTGACATAAAATTGGGATGCACATGAAGCCACTTTGTCTTCCGTGAACAGTCATGTAAAATTGTTAATTTTGTGTTATGTGAGAGACCTTGATCCGCCAGCGAAGGTGTCCATTTGGTCCACCCTGACATGATTTCTGCAGCCACTTTTTCATTAGCTATTATTGCAACAAGTGCTTAATTTACAATGCTTCTTGTTCTCATCAATAGTCTATGATTCAGTAAAATTCCAATTTACCTTTTTCTTCTAACCTTAATATTTTACCGCTTTCTGCTAAGTTAGAGGAAAAAAAAAGGTGAAAAAGTTTACCAGCTCTGTTTCTCTTTTGCACTAACATCTTTAAAAGTAACAAAAAAGTCTTGTTTTATCTTTTTGTTGCTGTTGTCATTGTTTTATATGAATATTTATGGGGTGGCAATGTGACCTCAAATATTGGGTATCTTTCATGATTTTCACAGCTTTTTAGATATTTTATTAGGGATTATAAAATGAAGATATTCTGATTCTATCTTACCTTATTTAGAGTAAGAGAAACCTCATCAATTACTTGGTTACCATGAAATACAGTTCACACGGAGACGTAGAACAATTGATTCTTTACTTCCCTTTATTGTCTAGTTTGCAAAATAATTCATTGGCATCCTAGCATCTCCAAAAGGCCAGGACTCCTCTTGAATTTTGATTATCATTATAAACTCATGGTTTTAAACTTTCAGAAGTGTTTTGATCAATTGCTGTTATTCTTAGTGATCCTCAATTTGTTCCATCTCTGACCAAGCAAGTAAGCGTCTTCATGTTGGCTCCTGAGTCCTGTCGATACAAACTCAGTGGTCTGTAACAGGACTGTTCCTTCTGGTATGACATGATGCTCCTAATCAACCTCTACTTTCCCTGATACGGACTTGGAGTCAGCCACGGCAATAAGTGGTAGCAATGGTAAACAATATGCAGAGACCAAAGTTGGGGACTTATGTGCTCTGTGGAACTACAGGTTTCTTCATCAAACAAGAAATGAGGAGAGAGGGAAGAGAGAAACTTACTGAAAAAGACTTATGAAACCTAAGAGACCAAATGACTAATGAAATTGTGACACAGAAGGGCAAGTAGGAAAAACATGATTTTTGATGTTGTTAAGCAATTGTTAACATTTTAAAATTAGCATTATTGTCATAGTTTTAAGAGAGTTCTTTATAGATGTATTGATATGATATTTGGATCTGAATAAAATAGTCTTGGGATGGGGGAATAAGCTGGGGTAAGATGAAAAAAGATTACTCATCAGTTCCCTCTGTTATTCTTCTCTTTTGCATGTTTCTAATTTTTTATAATCAACAGTTAAACTATTTTTGACACAGTTGATTCCATATAACATTTAAAAATGATGGAAAAAAGTAGTTTTGATTATTTTATGCGTTAATTTGTGCTTGGGAGATACTAGGGACATTTGGTTGAGTCTTGGGAAGTACTGATTACTGATTAGGTAGAAAGACCACATTATTAAGAATATTCAAAACGGATTTTTAAAAGCAAATGTTAGAAAAGTGATTAAACTCATAATCACACTGATGATTAAACATTTAAAAAAAATCTGCTCTTATGAAAGAAGAGCTACAGAAGAAATGTTGAAAACCTGAGCAGTTAGTAAAAAGTTAACAGAACAATCTAATCAAGACATCCATGTGCCCTTGGTAAACAATGCAATACAGTATAAGTTTCCATACAAAATGCATTTTGGCTTTGGAAATGCACAGATAACCATATGAATAATAAGCATGGCTTGTTGATTCAAATGGGGAAAGTACTCAAACATTTGGTCACCTAACCATCAAAGTTGGGAAAAGCAAGAGACTAAGATCAAAGCAAGAAAGATGTAAAGATATTTTTC